AGAGTTCGATTTCCTGAATTGAACTTTGGCCTAGAATAAGTTACTCAAGAGCCAATTCATTCCAGGTACTGATAGAGCTGGAAGACAGATCCGAGGTGGAAGGGTTCCCCTGAATTCAGGAATCAAGAATCAAATCGTAACCTTGTTTCACTGAGTTCAGGAAGTTGTGTTTGAATACAGGCTGGAGCCAGTTTTCGGGCTTCTTTGGGCAGATGCGTCCATTTTGCAGCTGATATAGCCATATTGAAGCGAAACTGAAAATGAACAGTTGCGAAAAATGTGAGCGATTCAAGGCTCAGCGATGACTGTATAAGCGGAGACAGAGAACCACTTTCTCTTTCTCATTGGTACGTTATTCGGCATACAGGGAGACACCAGCTACATTCTTCTATGTCTCCGCCCATACAATGATTCGAATTGTGTGTTCAGAATGATCGAAGGACCAAAACTATCATGGTTCAGCTTTGCTGGAGGACAAGTTCTAGTCACAGGCTAAATGAAAGAGCCTCACCTGTCCGGAAGGAGCTACACCGTAGGGTACACCAAGAAATTGTGTGACGGGTGCCAGATCGGCTCCATCCGGGTGCACCAGCTCTCCTCTCACAACACCCCATGCCGTGTTAACAGAGCGCACTTCATAACTTCTGAAACAATAAATCGTATTCAGAAAAGTGAAAAAAATGGAGAAATCCTGATTTGAAAAATTACTCACGCGACTAAGGAACAAAGAGCGGCTATTCTGAATAAAACCCGCACAAGTCTGTGGGTGAATGATTTCATCACGTTCCCATTATCTGTCTACTTGTCCTCCTGAAAGGTTTCACAGTCTTGTTCGTTGTGGGTGCTGAGACGTGTCAGGGGCGGGGCTCGGGGCGGTGCCAGTACGTTTTCCGCCAATTGTTGTTGCTTTTCCTCTTCAACAACTGGAGGAGAGTTAGCTGGCGCCGCACTAACCAGGCCTGTTGACATGCCTCAGCTCGTATCACTGTCACTCCGCAGTGACCATTATCGCGATGACCATTACTGGTAATATTGGCGAAAAAACGAGTAGAATTCCGAAGAGTCGATTATAATCGTAATCAAAGAGACTCAGAAGCGCAGACGATTGTCAAGTGGGCAGAGGTGGCGCAGTGGGAAATGGCGCCGCTACCAGCGTGCGCGGTCAAGTGCTTAAATGTCGGGTCACTTCCCCCCAGGTCAACCAAGCTTTCTGTCCTGCAGGCACCGACATGAATTGGGGCGCAGTTTGGCTTGCAGCGTGGTTGGGGGGGAGGCGCTCTGCACTTTCGCTGCTTCCCATCAACGTGTACACTACCTCATGAGAGTTGACAGGTATTCTTTACAAAAACCGACAGGGTATCTCTACAGACTTTGGCTTCTATCGCTTCAATGGTTTACACGCAAAATGCCTCCCCCGGGCCGAACCGTACATAAAGTGGTACCAGACTCATCCGAGAGGTCCACAACTCTGACTTGTACATCAAGGAGTCCTTGCAAATCACTGAATAAGCCGCATAGCACTCAAAAACGCACCACCATTGCGAGTGGAAGTGAAATGCGTGGCGCATCTTAAGGGGAACTAGTCCAGGCTGAGAGCTCCAAACCTACTAAATGTGAGCAGCAGCTCTTTTAGAAGATGTTCGCACGTAACAGTTCTACGTGTGATGTTAAAGAAAGAAAACAAAATAATTAGTGAATAATCAGTAAAGGGGGTTGATTACCTAATGTGCAACGAAAGCGCTCGAGATTTGGCGCGAAAGCTGCAAGCACATGAAAAGAACAAAAAGAAACGGATCCAGTATTAGTTCTAGAATAATGAGAATTTGAGTACTAGTTAACTTAGACTGACGATGATAATTCAGAAGGGGAAGGTGGGGGTAGGGGTGCATGGAGCACTAATTCCCAAAAACGGCTCGAAGCCCCTCTTAAACTTAGAAAATGACGAATTTCGTTGGAAGATGATTGAAGGTGGGAGAATGAGCTGTGGGAAGTGGTGACCATAGCCATGTGCATGTGCTCTGCGTGCCCCACATCGTCTTGCATAATGACATCTTCACGTAGGAAGTCCCAATTGACCATGTCCCATCAATTCACGTCAACCTGCAGCTTGGCTGCCAATTCAACTAGCCAGGCCCTCATCTTGCCACTATCGTACATCATAACAAATTGCGACATGTATCCCATAGGCTCCTCAATCGGAACACCTGCTAGCTGCCACAGGCGCCTTCCCATGGGCAATTTTCCCACCATTAGTCAATATTCGGAAGATTCCATACGAAACGAGGGAGTTGTGCAGTAGCAAATTGAGCTGCCCACCGCATGGGTCTATTATGTACTGGATCCTGTCTCACGGAGACCAACTTGACCTT